AAAACCGAGAAAATGAAAATTTCTTTAAAAACCTGTCAAACTATCAACCATCTGACAGCCAAGTCAGCGTGCTATCAAAGGGTCTCAAATTCATCCCAACGCCTGTGACAAACGAATTTAAAATCAGGCCAACTTTTGCGAGATTTATTCACAAGACGAATGCGCCTCCATTACACCTTTCACGGAAAAAACAAAGAACCACTTCTATTTCATATCAAACTGAATGTCACTGGTTCAGTCTTCTATTGCCCTTCAGAGCTACTTGGAAAATTCTCATAACGCTACTCGTAGACTGCATCTAAGCCAAAAAATACTTTGTAACGCAATGAGGTCACAGCTCTAAAAGAGTTGAAACAAACTCTGCTTTAAACCTCACCGAAGCAACACAACAATAGTCATCATGAATAGGACAGAAAAAAACAAAAGAGGCCAAAGTGCAACTCAACAACAGAGTTCACTTCAAACATCTCAAAGCACCGATAGTAAAAAGCACATAGGAAAAGGTTAATGAGATCATTGACCAAATGCATCGATGAAAACACATTGATGGCTTAGAAATGGCTTTCACAAACTCCCAATATCTGCCTTCGGATACACAATTAGCCACTGCCGAAAATTATTTTTACTTATCACCCAATCATTTCTTACAAAAAAGGAAAATCCCTTACGACAAGCAAAAATACAGTTCGAAGGCAATAAAGCGATGCAACCACAAAAGCCACATGGGGAGTCCATGCTGTTCTGTCTTTATTCGCATGGCAAAAATTCATTGTTTGTTGGCCTAAAACTATCCACAGAAGCTTCAGATTATTTCTGGGACAATTCATCGTCTGAAAAAGTCGACATTTCTCGACTGACAATGAAGCAGTTCTCAAAAAAGTAATATGTGTTATTCTCTGTGCAGTGAACAAAGAGAGTTGTGAGAAAGCAAAGCATAAGTTTGTTGAGCCTTTGATGTCATGATGATGTTTTTGCAGGCTCGGCTGGAACATGTTTTCAGCAATGGCGGACGATTTTTGGACGACTTTGAAGCGGTAAAAATTGGTCATCAAAGGTTTCTTTTGAGTTTTTCATGGAAAAAAGGGTCATAACTTGACCCAATTCAACATTGTGTAAACAATTTAGGCCAAAATAAAATGGTCAATTTTCGTCTCAGGGGCACTTTAAGCTTGCGTTTAAAAGAGCCAAGGGACTCTGACTGCCTAGCATCAACTGGAATATTGTTCCACAAGGGGATAACTCTAATCAAATAAAAGTCTCGAAAAGTAGATGTTTTGCT